GGCACCGGGGACGGCGCGTCCCGGTTCTCCTGCCCGGGATCTTCCCGGTTTTACCCCGCTCCTATCCCACTTTTCCCCTGGTTTTATCCCGTCCCATCCCGCTCTCATCCCGGTTTTACCCCCGCTCCCATCCCGGGAGCTCTTCCCCCTCCGATCTCGGCGCTTTCCCGGTTTTTCTCCTCTCCGCTCCCGGTTTCTGCCCGGTTCCCCCTCGGTCCGCTCCCACTCCCATCCCGGTTTTTTGCCCGGTTTTTCCTCACTCCCATCCCGGTGCTTTCCCTGTCCCTCCCCGTTCCCGATTTTCTCTCGCTCCGTTCCCGGTCTCCTCCCGGCTCTCCTTCCTGCTCCTCTCCCGGCGCTTTCCCGGTTCCTCCCCGCTGCGCTCTCCGTTCCTTCCCGGTTTTCCCCCGCTCCCATCCCGTTTTTCCCCGGTTTTTCCTGACGTTTCCTCTCCCCCGCAGCCACCGGGATGAAGCCGGAGGAGGCTCCGTCCTGCCGGGAGCAGGGAACGCCGCTCCCGGGAGCCGGTGAGTACCAGGAATTCCGGGAATGACACCGGGAATATCACTGGGAATTCCCAAAATTCCCTCCAGCATCCCCGATTTCGGGATTTTTTTCCCATTCCCGGGTTCCTTTTCCCGTTTTTGCCAGAGTTTTCCTCTTTATTCCTGTTTTTTTCCCCTGCTCCAACCCCCCCCTTTTCCCAATCTCGTTGGTTTTTTTTTTTAGGCAGAATTCCCGTGGTTTTTTTCACTTTCCCGGGCTGGAATCCAGGATTTTCCCGGGGATTTTTCCCTGATCCCACTTTCCCAGGAATTCACAAAAATTCATCCTCATTCTCTCTTTATTTATTCCCGGGTTTCCTCTCTAAATTAATCAGAAATTGGGATTTTAAATCCTTAATTTTAACCCACAGTGGGGGGAAATGTGACTGGGGGAGTGAAAAATGTGGGGAAAAACCTCAGGAATGGGATAAAAATCTTTGGAAAATCCCCGGGAATTAGAATTTGGAATTTCGGGGTCCAAACTGGAGCTGGGTTTGGAATTTGGAATTGAAATTGGGATTGAAATTCCAAATTAAATCCAAGATCAGGGGCTCCCCTCATTCCCATTTTTCCCGGGACTTTTGGGCTCCATCCCTGGGATCTGGGGCCGGATTTTTCCCGGAATTCGGGCAGAAGAAACCCGGGAATGGCCTCGGGAGGAGGAGGGGGAGGCGCTGCCAGAGAAAAATTGGAATTTTTCCCTCCCTCCCTTCCCTTTGAGGAGCTGCCAGAGATGAAAGTTGGGATAAAAATGAGGTAGAAAAATCAAATTCCCAAAAATCCGGAGTGAGAAAAAATCCCCAAATCCCCTGGATTCCTTCCCAAAATCCCCCAAATTCCTCTTTTTGCCATGGAAAAATATTCCTTTGGATTTCTGGGAGCTCCGCATGGAACTTCCCTGATGTCCAACCCTGTTCTTCCTGGGTTCTCCCATGTTTCCCCCTGAATTTCCCGGGTTTTCCTTAAATCCTCCCCTTTCCCCCATTTTGCCCCAAATTTCCATATTTCTCCCAAATGTTCCAATTTTCCCCCAAATTTTCTCTTTTTCCCCCCAAATTTTCCCAATTTCTCCCAGATTTTCCCCCAAACTCTTCATTCCCCAGGATTTTCCTGAGACTCTCCTATTTCCCTGGATTTTCCCCAATATATCCCAGTTTTCCCCCCAGTCTCTCCATTCCCCCGCATTTCCCCAATCTCTCAATTTTCCTNGATCCCAAAATTCCCCATCCCTTATCCCCACCCTGATCCCAAATCCCATGCCCAAATCCCCATCCTGATCCCAAATCCTGAGCCCCAATCCCAAATCTTGAGTCCTAAATCCCAAGTCTCCATCCCAAATCCCAAATCCTGAGCCCAAACCCCGAAGGAAATTCCCAAATGCCACGCAAACCTCGCTATCATCGTCAGCTTCCCAGAGCAAATCCTAAATCCCAAATCCCAATCCCAAATCCGAAATCTAGATCCTAATCCCAATCCGGATTATCCTAATTTTCCTGACAATCCCACTGATCCCAATGATCCCAAAACCCCCAGTGATCTCAATCCAGATTATCCCGATTTTCCTGATTTTCCCTTTTTTCTCACTGATCCCAAAAACCCCCAATGATCCCAATTTTCCTGATTTTCCCAACGATCCCTATTTTCCCCCCCTGCAGCAGTTCCTGATGTCCCGCGCGCGGAATGAGCGCTTCTGGATCGGCCTCACCGACCGGAATTCCGAGGGAAACTGGGAATGGGTCGATGGCACTGACTACAAATCCTCCTTCACGTGAGCCCTGGGTCCCAAAATCCCAGGATTCCAGCCCAAAATCCCGGGATTCCAGCCCAAAATCCCGGGATTCCACCCCAAATTGGGATTTGGGGCTTTTTTTCCCCCACAAAAATACGACAAATTTGAGGGAAATTGGGATTTTTCCCCCTTGGAAACCCCACAGATCTGGGGGGTTTTCTTGGAATTTTCTCCGCAGAAAGCGAACCAAAAATTGGGATTTGGGGATTGTGGAGCCCAATTGTTGGGATTTTGGGGGATTCCCTCCCAAAAACCCCTCCAAATCCTGAAAATTTGGAGAATTTCTCTCCCTACATGTTGGAGTTTTGGGGAATTTTGCTCCCCAAATCTCGGGATTTTCACGAAAACACCCCCCCCCCCCCCCCCAAAAAATGGGGATTTTTATTGGGGGCTTTCCCTCCCTGGCCCTTCCCATCCCAAATCCCGATTTTTCTCCCAGGTTTTGGCGGGAGGGGGAGCCCAACGACAGCGGGAACAACGAGGATTGCGCTCACCTCTGGATCTCCGGGAAGTGGAACGACGTCCACTGCACCTTCGAGTGCTTCTTCGTCTGCGAGCGCCCCCTTGCCCAAAAATCCCCATTTTCCCACTAAAATCCGGGATCCCCATTCCCAATTTTCCCGATTTTCCCACCCCCTCGCAGGGCTGCGGCACAAAATTCCAAAAACAACCGGGATTTTTTTAGGGGAATAAAAGGAGATTCCTGCTCTGGTTTGGGTGAATTTGGGTTTTTCCTGATTTTTTCTGAAGTTCCCTGGAGTTTTCCCAAATTTTTGGGTGGTTTGGGGTGGGAGATTCCCGGGATTTTGGTGGTTTTAAGGTAAAACTCTCTGGAGATACAGGGATTTGGGAATTTTTGTCAGCCCCGTTCCCAATTTTCCATAATCTTCCCTAAATATCAGCATTTTCCAAACTCTTCCCTATTTCTTTCCCTGTTTAATTTGGATTTCCAGGGGAAATTTTCCGGGTTTGGGGATTCAGGTTCTGGGCAGGTCTCGGATCCCACAGGGATTTGGGAATTTTGAGAGTTTTGTCCTCCCCGTACCTCCCAATTCCCCCTGGATTGCCCTCAAATCCTTCTGGATCCCAAATTTCCCTAATTTCCCCCAATTCCTTTGGGTTCGGGGATGGAATTCCCGGGTTTTTTTGGGAATTCCCTTTTTTTTTTTTTTTGGAATTCC